TACAAATGGAAGCTCTGGTATACCTTTATTTTTTCATAATGATTTAATGATTATGGAGAAAAACATTCCTTAGAATATAGAGATAATTAAGTAAAATACATGAAATTTATCCACTATGCAAAATGTTCTTCTGCAAATACAGAGAAACTCATGGTTACACAATGTGGAGTAATGGGTAAAAACTTCAGAGAGCTTTGTGTGGGCTGCCTGTGATGGTGGTAGGTTCTGAATAAGATTGCATTTTATCATCCTTGAGAAGCAATAAAAAATGAGGAACAAAGACTTAAAAGCAACTGTAGAGCAAAATGCCTTGATCTCTCTGTAATTTAAGCAATTTCCTTTACTTTCTCATTCCTAAAATTGATGATCTTCAAATGGATGAAGAATCATTTTGTCCTGTTTAGTGTCAGTGGAGAGGTATCAGATTGTTCTCTAGTTCCTGGGTTGAGTTGCAGGAATTTCAGTTTTGAACAGATTGGTAAATGCACATAGCAATGAGTTTTAACCAGGGCTTCATCTGAGAGTCACACATGAAGCATTTTGGATTAACTCATGTGCAGATTCCTCAGGGAGCTGACTTAATAGCTCTGGAGAACAGTATGGTCGTCGGTATTTTTAAAAGTTCCTTGGCTGATTTGGCTGATTTTTGTGTTTGTCTTCGTCTTTCAGATGAAACTACCATGGTGAAAGATTGTTTGTCTAGTAACTGATTCTGGAGATTCTGAAAATCAACCTGTATGATCTCTCTTTGTTCAGACATATCTTCCTTTTACTTATACCAGTTCCTATGACTGCTGTAAATAGTTTTTGCAGACTTCTTGTCTAAAAAGAACAGGAATTTATTCTCTGACAATTTTGGAGTCTGGAAATCTGAAATTAAGGTATTGACAGTGCTGAACACCTCAAAAGGCTCTGGAGGAGAATCTGTTCCTGGCTGTTTCTAGCATCTGGACGTGGCAGCATACTATGCCTTATTCTATCCACTCCTTCAACTGACATCACTTCTGCTTTTTTTATTATTATTTTATTGTTAAGATGTTGTACAGAGGGGTTACAGATACATCACTTCTGCTTTTTAAAATTACAAACACTTGGGATTGAGTTTAGGACTCACCCACAACACTTCCCATCTCCAACTCTAGCTTAATATCGTACCTTTAATAATCATGCCAGATAAGAAGAATCCAGGGACCAAGAACTGAGCATCTTTGATATCTGTTGTTCAGGCTCCACTTCAGTCTGTTGCCTCATTTGCCACTACATAGTTCTCTCAACATATCCTATCACTGGGAAATGGTGCAAAGGGACCAGCCTGCCAGAACCATGTTCATCCATAATGTTTATTCCAGATAACTCAGAACAACACGAAGGCCATTTTCTGGCCACATCCTACACTTCTACTCACACAGGCAACTTCTTTGCCCCTAAGTGGACTGAGAATATAGAACTTTGAGCACTCCCATTGTCCTCATTACCTACGCCAGTATCTCAAGCTGGTGTCCTAGGAACAGGGGCTCTGTGTAAAGCTCATCATTTAAGAATAGAATCTTGAGGTGACTAGCATTATTTGAATGAGTTCTCAGAGAGGCATAGCCTTCTTACCTTCTCTTGTCCAGGCATATGCAGCACTGCAAAGTTTCATCTTCCAAGGAAAGAATGGAGTTAGTTGATAGTTAACATGAAGAGAAAGGGCTGGAGATGCTGTAACTCAGTGAAAGAAAAGGCTCTGAGTTTGATTCCTAGAGAAACATGTAAATAAACATATAAACAAAGTTTATTCCAGAGTCAGTTTGTGGGAAAATATCTCTAAGAGTTTAAGAGACGTTAATTGACATTGGGCTTCATGTTTCTTTGTTATGGAAAGCAAGCTTTGTTCCCTCTCAGTTTTGAAATCCCATTGTTTTTCTACCATTATCATTAGAAAGTAGAAGTGAAGAGGAATCTGTGCCTACACACTTTGAAAAGATGGCCCGAGGTTAAGGAGACTCATGAAATTATGAACGCTCTAATTAGGGGACGGTCAATATCCAGCGATCTTATGTGTGCTATCACTTAACCTTTTCTAGTAGCTAAATGACTCTCTACACATTGGGAATGTTATGAATTCCAAGATGGTTGTGGTTAGTTTACTGCTATGCCTCACTGACAAACACAACCAGCACCCTTCACTTCAGAAACCTAGTCGTAGTACCTCTTATCTGGCACTTGGACTAGTCCAGTGGCCAATAGATGATTTAAACTTCAATGAGAATTTCTATGTAGGTCTTTTCATGTTGGAAAGAACAGTGTGTTTTCTCTCTTTTTAGAGACATAAGACATGAGTATGAATAGCTATTGCTTATAGTGGGCAGTTAGTTGTGATGTAGAGGAACAAAACTTGGAAATGTTTGGAGTGGAAGCAAGAAATAGGAGGGGGAGGCTATATTCCTGCATCCCTGAAGGCAGCTCCATTCATACTTTTTTTTTCTGATTTGGTTGCATAAAGTATTAGGTCCTATTCTTAAATTATTTAAGAGCTTATGAATTTGATATTTGAATGAAAGAAAAAGAAGTCTTAATCATAAATGGGATATTAGTTTGGGAAGTCAGAGTAAGCTTGATCAAAAGTTATATAGATTCTTTTATCAGGGTTGGAAGAAAGATAACAGAACAAAGAAGCTAAAGGTTCAGATTGAGAAGCCCTCATCTAAATTGAGGCCAGGAATGTTTGAGATTTTAATGTCTCTCAGATTTAGAGAATTTTTCTTGTTCACATTAGCTTACTTTGAGAATGGGACTTTATTGTTTTCAACTACACATTCTATTCATACAGCCAGAAGGCAAATGCATGGAACAAAGGCTTTTGGTTTTTAATTTTGATTTTCAGGTTTTTGGCACAGGTCTTGCCATGTAGTTTAAGGCTGGGTTTGAACTGACCAGCTCCAGCTGCTCCCCCATACGCCATGCTTTAGTTTTCCAAATGCTGGATTTGAGGTGTATGTCACTACAACCAGCTTGAAGTAAAGTTTTATTGTGTGGAATTTTCTGCTTGGGGCATTGTGTTGATACTTAAAAGTTTTGAATTTGTAATACTGCAGATTTCATATTTTTGAATTAGTGAGCTCATCCCATTCTGACAAGACTGGTTGGAGTGAAACACCATGGTTTCTAGGCTGACCAAAAAAAGAAAATGATGCCCATTGAAGAGGAGATAAAAAGGAATCCAGTGTATTTAGTTCTTACCTGGGCTAATTAGTTGAAAGAATATGCAGCCAGGATGAGGACATGTAAGTGCTAGACAAATTCACAGGGCATCTTCTGTTTCAGGAAATAATGAGTTATCATAAAGTGCTACACAGAATCAGCGAAATTTGTAATCTGATGATTAAAAAGAATAAGTCTTTAGTTTTGGCATGCTACCTAAGATACCTATTTTACATTATAAATACAAGAGGAGAACTTAACCTGCAATTTAACAGGGAAGTCTGTTGAATTAGACAAGCTATATTATCAATAGGCCTTTGTAAGATATCTGGCTGACTAAATAGCAAGTAGTTATAGTTCAAAACTCCATTTCTTATACTCATTACCTTACTTGTGTAATTGTAACCCCACTGTACAGAATCTTTATAATAAATATATACTAAATATATTAAATATACTAAATATATACTTAAAAACTCCATTTCTCTTTAATAAAAAATTCTCAAGGACAAAACAATTTAGAAAAGAATTGTAGGGCAGAACTGAATGTATTAAAATTAGATGCTTAGATATTTCCAGACTACCTTTATGAACCCCATTTTAAGAATTTTTGCCACATTGTGAATTACTCTGGCTAACACCAAAACAACAACAAAAAAACCCTATAGTGATCTCTCTTTTTTCAGTTGTAGTTTCTCAGTCCAGTGTTAGTTTTCTGAGACCCACTGCTCTTGGATAACTGATCTACTTCCTAAGATGTTGCCTGTATTGTAGGTGGGTTCTTCAAAAGAATATCTGATTTATAGTATGATCTTTATACTTCAGTTTAACCTTTGTTTTCATTCTTTATTCTCATTGTTTGCGGACATGTACTTTTCCATGTGGATAAAATGTGTCCTTGGTTGTATGTATGCCATAGTTATTCAGTGGTTAAATTGACTATTTCAGCCATTCTGTACAATGTCTACAAATCTGCTAGGAGATCCTATGCCTTCAACCTCTACAAAATCCAAGTGCTCCACTGAAGAAACTGTTTAAACATCATCATACAGTACGATAGTTATTCTTTGCTTATTGTAATTTTCTATTGTGGATTTACATAATAGAATATTTTTTTCATTTTTTTATTCAAAAGTTAAAGTATTTTCCTTTGTAGTAGTTATAGTGGAGAAAGTTGATTGAGAAGACCTTATGTACAGTTCTGAAATGAAGAGAATTGGGGAAGCTGGTCTTTTGTGACAGGACTGTCACAGTTATCAAGGCTCTATCTCCTTGACCACACCCACCCACACATCCCAATGTAACACTCACTTAAACAGAATTATGATATTGGAGTAATGTAAACTACCAAAGGCATTGCTTTAGGAACTCTAAAACTATCTAAAATGCTTTTCTGTATCTAATTTCAGTCTTCTTTCCATGTAACGTACTCATTCAGTTGCCATTCAGTTGTATTTTTTCCATTAATGAGGGAGTTATCAGAACGACCAGTTCCAAATTAATCAAACTGTGACTTTTTTGAATGAGAAGTATTTTCCAGTCTAATTTTAATCCTATCCTAATTATCCTGTGATGAAACGTAACATACAGATTTTACTCTGTCCAGATATCTGCTCGTGCAGCTCTCCTCACTTGTGCTCATTTACCTACCCAGAAGCATGGTGCCAAGGGGCTTTAGTCCTGCTTGTGCAGATAACCAGACTCTGAAGAGTGGGGGAGTTGCTTATGGGCTTACTCAAGCCTTTTGGCTTTGTTTAGTGAATTTAACATATGGAATAGAATGAAAAGAATAACTCATTCTTATTTTCTTTCTACAGGCTCTGTACAATTCAATCAAGAATGAGAAACTTGAATGGGCAGTGTAAGTATGCTGGATGTCAGCTTTTTAATAATGAATTGCTCCCTTTTTTCTTTATGCCTTGGAGGTGATTTCAGAAAAGGATTAACTATGTATCCTCAATTCTCATTTTACACCTAGTATCTTACTGTCTTTGTGCAAAACCTAAGGTAGCTCTAAGTAGCCTTTTTTTTTCTTGGTACCTAGAATACTGTTTTTGTTTTGCTGCTTTCAATCTTATTGCTGTGTCTGTAGGCCATTAGTTATATTTTAATGTACATAGAAAATAAGCCACAATAAAAATAAGTTTCTGCAGGTAGATAAGCTTGAGAAATGATAGAGCGAATAAAGCTATTTTTTTATTTTGGCTCATATTAGTTATAGGGGGCATGCAACCATGTTTATACTGTATTTCCATCCATTTCAACCCTCTGTCACACTCCCTGTGTGACTCCCTCCCCCAAAATAGTACCTCCAACAGGTTTACTTATTTTGTTTCCCTAAGTATAAATGATCTTTCCAACAGTGTTAACCTTGCCTTGCACAAGTTCCCACCACCCACAGTCTCTCTTTCCTCCCGTTCCCCTATATCTATCTATAGCTATAGATACAGATATCTATATCCCATTCCCCTCATCTGTATTTTTAATATGTTAACAGGTTCTTGCTCTTTAGTTTTCCAACCTCACCTCTCCCCTTAAGTAGTCTCTTAGCTTGATTTATGTTCTATATTTAACCATATAAGTAATGATATATACATGTATACATATATATTTATACAGCTAAAAGGCATGCATACATATAGGCAGTTATCTGTCTCTCTATGCATGTCTTTTAGATCTAATTGATACACATGAGTGAAAACATGGTATTTTGATTTTTGAGCTTGTCTTGCTTAATATGACCTCTATTTGCATGTTTTCCTAAAATAACATGATTTTGTGTTATTTATGGCTATGTTGATAAGCTTGAGAAATAAATAAAGAGGGCTGACATTAGAAATCATTTGGTAGAGAGAACACACTATGGAACAAGTACTAAAATCATAAACCCCAATTCTCTATTGGAGAACCTGTCCTACATATCTCTATGACATGCATCATGTAAGCCTTGGTGTTCCTGTTGTCACTGCTGCTTGCTGGACTACACACCTCCCTGGCATGGCAAGTGCTGCCAGTTCTAATAGTAATGATATCACTACCAATTTTGTAGTGTATACAGAGGATGTTATTGGTTCAATCATTCTATGCTTGGAGAAGGTACATTGGATATAAGAGAATAAAAGGAACTAATGCCATTGTACAGAAGATTAACCATGACCTTGAGGGAAATTTTGGGCTGAAGAATTAATATCACTTGAAAATTTGCTAGCAGGAAATTATATTGAACTTGGATAAATCTCCTGGACTTTGGTGTTTTGAGGGAAAAACATTTGAAGATTTAGAACTAGAGAAGACTCCCTCAGGCAGCTCTGTGAAATGTAATTTTATTAAGAACCTAAATCATAGCTTATGCTTAACATTTAATCTTTAACTACTTTTCTCAGCAAAAAGTGTTTTTTCCTCAGATATCGAACTTAAGCATATAAGAAACTGGAAATATCACCATTCAGTTCTTTACTTTGAAAGGTCAAATCCAAAAAATTGACACATACCTGTATTACGTACATATGCCAGTTGTCAGTGGTGAGAATGAGGTGAATCATTAGCATGTTCAAGGATTCTATTATGAAGACAGTTCTTATACAGCTAAAATGATGATGAAAGTGATAAACTTCACAACAGCATCTTTCTTATTCATTATCTTGAAATTGGGACTGTGCAGGGCAGACAGGTTGGTGAGCAGATGGACTGACTATAACAGCTAGTAGCCTGCATGTCCTAAGGCAATTTTAGAACCACTGAGGTGCAAAGGATTCTGGAGCTGTAAGGAAAATTTTTCTCCTATATACTATCATTTAGGATTTTATATTATCAATACCACTTGATAAGCCTTATATATATATTATTGTAAAGATTCTGTACAGAGGGGTTACAGTTACATGAGTAAAGTAGTGAGTATATTTCCTATTGAGCATTGTTACCCCTCCTTTGTTTTTCCCTTACCATCCCTTCCCTTCCCACCTCCCCAACTGCCCCCCCCAAGTTGTAAAGTTCGTTTTCAACAGTGTCTTGTACATCTCATTGTTGCAATGGTTCAACCCTGTATCCTTATTTCAGCATTGTGTTATTTCCCTTCCCCTCTCCACATTAGAAAAATGTATATTCAAGATGCAGGGTGTGGGAATCAAATACAGTGAAAACAGGGGTTATACCATGGGGGAAGAATATACGAAAGAAACAAAAGAAATCACATAGTACATTATAAGTACTTTAAAAACAACAGCAACAAAGAAAAAAACCTCTTGTGTCCCTGCTTTGGGGTTCATTTCGCTTAATATCATCTTATAGGGTCATATGTACATAGCTTTTGACCTTTTCTACTTGTCTGGTAAGATTATCCTACATATGTACTAGTTATTGCAAATAAAGGAAACCATGGGACCTATGTTTCTTTGGGCCTGGCTTACTTCACTTAGTATAATTTTTCCCAAGTCTTTCCATTTCCTAACAAATGGGGCTGTGTCATTCTTTCTGATGGTGGCACAGAATTCCTTTGTGTGTGTGTGTGTGTGTGTGTGCGCGCGCGCGTGCGCGCGTGTATGTGTATGTGTGTATGCCACATTTTCTTGATCCCTTCATCTACTGAGGGACATCTGGGTTGGTTCCATATTCATATCCATTATGGTAAATAATGCTGCGATAAAGATAGTTGTTTGTGATTGTTTGGGTAAATGCCCCAAAGTGAGATTGCTGGGTCATAAGGGGGAGATCTATGTATAGTCTTTTTAGGACCCTCCATACTGCTTTCCAAAGTGGTTGAACAAGTTTACACTCACACCAACAGTACAGTAGGGTTCCCTTTTGGCCACATCCCCTCCAACATATGTTATTAGATTTCTTGATTATAACCATTCTAACTGGGGTAAGGTAGAATCTCAATGTTGTTTTGATTTGCATTTCTTTTATGGCCAGAGAGGTTGAGCATGTCTTCATGTGTCTATTGGCTATTCTTGTTTCCTCTTGAGAAAAGTCTCTCTTTAAGTCTTTATCCCACTTATTAATTGGATGGTTGTTTCTTTGAGGATTTGTTGTTGGTGGAGTTAAGTTTTTGAGTTCTAAGTATCTTTTAAATACGGAAATCTCCCATGCTCCTGGATTAGGATTAACATGATGAAAATGGCAATATTGCCAAAGGCTATCTACAAATTCAATGTGATACTTATCAATATCCCAGCCTCATTCTTCAATGAAATAGAATAAGCAATGAAATAGAAGAAGCAATCCAAAGATTCAGATGGAACAATAAAAGACCCCAAAATAGCAAAAACAATCCTTAGCAGAAAGAACAGTGCTGGAGGAATATCATTACCAAATTTCAAACTACAAAGCCACAGTAATGAAAACAGCTTGGTACTAGCACAAGAACAGACCTGAAGACCCAGAAATGAACCCACAGACCTATAGCCACCTGATATTCAACAAGGGAGCTAAAAATAATACAACGGAAGAAAGACAGCCTCTTCAGTAAATGGTGCTGGCAAAATTGGTTAAACACCTGTAGAAAACTTTAGTTTTCTACAGATCCTTATATATTACCCTGACAATAATCAACTCCAAATAGATCAAACCTTGAAGTCAAAGCAGATGCCCTGAAAACATTACAGGAAGGAATAGTAGAAACTCTAGGGCTCCTTGGTACAGGCCGAAATTTTCTTAATAGAGATCCAGAAACAGAACAAATCAAAGAAAGGTTGGACAAATTGGATTGCATAAAACTGCTTTTTGTTAAAGAACAATTGAAGAAATAATAAATATGATTTCTGAGTTACATAAAATATACATGAAATGACTAATGTAGTGTCTTGAACATTTTATAGACAGTATTCATTTGGATTTAATTATTTATGTATTTACATTTTAATATGTGAGCTAGTGTACATTTTCCCAAGATGAGAAAAATGTGAGTAGACAGATTGGTAGTATATTATATGATATTATATAGGTAACACTGTAATTTTTTCTCTCTTAAAATTTTCACAGTAGATATTGATCATCTGCTTTGACTACATTTTATTTTCAAAATTTCCCCTCCTCCCCCATTATGGGGCTTGAACTCTGAACCTGGGCACTGTTCCCTAAGCTCTTAAGCTCAAGGTGAGCTCTCTACCATGTGAGCCACAGCACTACTTGTCTTGTTGACTTTCCTGCCCAGGCTGGCTTTGAGCTGCGATCCTCAGTCTCCTGAGTAGCTAAGATTACAGGCATCAGCCCCCAATGTTCAGTCCAAAATCTTTAAAAAAAAACAACTGTCATATCTCCAATCCAGTTTTTCTTAGTTTGGAAAATATGCTAAAACCATTTAAATATAGTCACATCCTTTGTTAGAAAGTCCACTTACAACACAGCATCTGCCTCACATCTGGCAGTATTCTTAATGGTGTTCAAGGACTAGTTCTAGAACTTAACCTTTTAATGAAAACTGCATTCAAAAGGGCTATGCCATAGTATCTTTTTAGAAAATAATATATATTTCATATTTTTAGCAAAAAATTAAAAATTTAACTATGTGTTAGTATTCTGATTTGGTCAAGTGATGCTTTGGTTAGCTAGTACATTATCATTTGAGCTACAATAAAGAGCCCTTTTATTGGTTATTTTGGAGATGAAGACTCATGGACTTTTCTATCTAGATTGGCTTCAAATCACAGTCCTCTGGATCTCAAAATCCTGAGCACCTGTCATAAGAACCAAACACATTTATTATTTTAAAGAGATTTTTTGAGCTATAATTTATATGCCATAATCTACCCATTTTAAATACAATTCTTTATTTTTTGGGGGGTAGGGGGGTTCGGTCATGGAGCCTGAACTCTGGGCCTGGGCGCTGTCCCTCAGCACTTCAGCTCAAGGCTAGCACTCTAC